GCTCTATCCGTGCCCTTTGGAATTCCTTTTCCTCCACTACGGCAGCAGCTGCGATCGACGACCAGCGCAGTACGTACGACGTCCGTAACGCGCGTGCCTTTTGGGGTTTTGGGTTTGAGTTTGGGTTTGGCCGCCTCGATCGCTTTCTTTAGCTCCTAAACAGCATATTTATAAACGAAAAATAATTTATAAATAAAACTTTTATACACGTATTTTTAATGATTTAAAATCAAGGGCTAAATAAATAAAATTCGATAAGAAAACCTCAAAATCAAACCCAAATTCAAAGTTAAAAATTTAAATTTTGACTGATAAGCATAAAGATAAACGAGAAGATGGGCTATTTCTTTATCACTGGCTTACACTGTTACACATGTGGCTACTGGCCGGTCTTCGTGGCAACCGGGCGATAGGCATCCGGCCTCTGGCGTCCCCATTCCGAATGGGAAAGGAAAACTACGTGAGGGGTAGCCATGGGCCATGGCTAGCTAGCTGCCGGCGTGAGGTGGAAACACAGAGTCAAAATGTGCTGCATGCCAGCTGACTGGAATGTTACTCGCGTGAAAGTTCCATGATTTCTGGGCGCTGGTGCGGTGCCTTAGTATGGGTGTGGCCCTGTTTTGTCCCCCTTGAAGCTATCTCTAAAAAGCAATCCAAATGGACAATATATATATATATATATATATATATATATATATTAAATTTGTTTGGTGCTCCATGGTGCCCGGGCACCATTGTTGAAATTGAGTATATACCCAATTCAAATGAGTATGAAACTTTTTCAAATATTTAGGTATTAACATTAACTACTTTACTAACTAGTTCAAAGCAAGTTTGAACTGAATTTGAACTTGTTTTTGTTAAATTTTGATTCTAGGTATATAGCATCCAAATATATAATTAGTTAGGTATGTAATCATGGATTGTGAAATAAAGTTAAATTTGAGTTGTTTTGTTGATAGGTATAGGTATGAATCGAATTCTTATAACTAGCTATATACTCATAATTTGAAAATTTTGAAAAATTTGAGTGATTTTGTGTATTTGATATCATGGTGCCCGGGCACCATGGTGCCCCATATGAGTGTCCTATATATATATATATATATATATATATATATATATATATATATATATATATATATATATATATATATATATATATATATATATATGGTGTTTGAATCTCCTGAAGATGAAGATAAAAATGAAGATGAAGATAAAGATTAAGTGTTTCATGCAAAACGAGGTGGTAATAACATGTGATTAATTGAGTTTTAATTATTATAAACTTAAACAATGAATTAATTTAATATTTTAGAACAACTTTCATATAGAAAGTTTTCACACGAAACACATCGTTTAGCAGTTTGAAAAGCGTGCCACAAATATCCAAAACTTTATCCACTCTTTGTAGTGGAAATGAACGGGTATGATATCTTGATAGTGTTTAAAGGGGACAGAATTAAACACATATTTAGATTACACTCGGCTACATATCACTTATAGTCTGTTACAATGACATTCAGTTACAGTAAAAAAAAAAATCAGGTTTTACAAATTAGCTTGTCTCTAGATTTCCGATTTTTAACATGTTTATCCCCTTTTTATTATTTCATTCCAAACAGGCTAGCTATATCCATTAATTGGTTGAAAATTCTATAAGATTAGCTTCAAATTTGGGAAAGATCAATAGGTAATAGGTAGTCCCAAAAAATATCTTTCACAATGCATGCTCCCTCCGTTTTATATTATTTTTCACTGATCACCAATCCATAAGTCCCGCGGTTATTACTATTGACAATTAATTAAAAGAGAACTTTTATGTTTTCATAGCTCTGAAATTCGTAATTAATAAATATCGAGTTTTCTCGGTTTGAACCCTTGGTTGTAGCCTTTTCCTGTAACGAGGAACTATAGTCATTCCCCTTGTACTTTTGGCTGGTTCGAACCATTTTAGATTTGGGCTGTGTTCGGATGGGCAAGTTCCCAATCTAAAATATCTCTTTTTCATGCTCATGTTTCTAAGCTGTTAAACGATGTGTCTTTTTAAATTTCTATATAAAAGTTACTTTAAAATCATATTAATCTATTTTTTAAGTTTTTATTAGATAATATTTAATTAATCATATGCTAATGAGTCACTCCATTTCCTCTGCGGGAGAGTAATGGTGTCGTCTGAGCTAGCTAGTTTACACGTGACTCATATCTTCGCTCTTCTCATTATAACTCAAGTGAACATTAGAGCAGGTACAATAGTATACTATAAGTCAGCTATAAACACATATTGAGAAGATAAAAGAGGATAGAGAAGAGCAGCGTCCCAAAAAAAAGACAAACCTTAGGTTTCCGTGTCTAACATTTGACCGTCCGTCTTATTTGAAAAAATTATGAAAAAAATTAAAAATACAAGTCATGCATAAAGTATTAATCATGTTTTATCATCTAACAACAATAAAAATACTAATTATAAAAAAATTTCATATAAGACGGACGGTCAAATATTGGACATGGAAACCTAGAGTTTGTCTTTTTTTAGACGGAGGGAGTAGCCAGCTGCAACATGGACTTCAAGACACAGTGTATGTATGACAGGTGGGACCATATATTAATAGTGTAGTATATGTTTAAAAATAACTATTGTATAAATTGGCTATTAAATCGACTATATATGATTTAGAGCTAATAGTTGGTTATATTATTAAACTTGCTCTTAGTATTTTTTCTATATGGTATATCAATAAATTATATGGGCTCTACCCTAAGGTGAGTCAATGGGTCTAGGATAGCTCTAACTTATCTTCATGATAACGTATTGTCATACAAATATATATTCTCAAAAACCAACAATATTGTATTTTGCCGCTATATTTTTACTATGACATATGAATGTGTACAAAATATAACACTATATTCTTGACAAAATCAAACCTATCATTCGCATGAATAACCAAAACAAAAAATACATTATTATTTTGATGAAAATTGAAACGAGCAGCAAGGTTTTCGGGGCATCAATCACTCACTATTGTGACCAGAGAGGTAGTACTCTCTTCTTCCATACTACAACTGGCAACTTTTTTTTTTTGAGATCCTTGTTATCACAAAAACAACCTAACACCTTGTTTAAAACATGGGAAATCTTTTCCGATTAAATCATGCAATTAATTGATCTCTACGAAAATCCTACCAGTACTTTGTACTTCCCTGTGCTTAAATACACATGTTTTCTTAGACCACTTTGAATGAGAGTTTCATTTCCATTAAATAAGGTGTCATATCAATATTTTCTATGATGTGGAAATGAATTAATAACGTGGGAGATAAAATGAGTTTCATCTAGATAAAATTATATCTATACTGTTTCCAATACAACTTGTCTCTTGTATGTATTGCCTATAATGCTTGTAAAAACAGCAAAACTGAAACAACGTATTTAAAGAGTTATTTTAATAATCAATTAAGGCTATGTTCGTTGTGGGCGGTTGGAAACAAATATTACAGAGCCGTCTATTAGCGTGTGATTAATTAAGTATTAGTCTATTAGCTATTTTTTAAAAAAAATAGATAAATATGATTTTTTAAGGAATTTTCATGTAGAAACTTTTTTTAAAAAAAACACACCGTTTAACCGTTTAAAAAGCGTGTGTGCGGAATACTAGGGAGAGGGGTTAGGAACACCCTGCATCGAACAGGCTGTGTGATACATTTGAGAACATAAGAATAATATCGAAACGTATAGTGGAGAGGGAAGGGAAACAAAACAATCGTACGTCGCTCAAATTCCTCGCGTTGACGAATTCTGGAATCAAAACACACGCTTGCATGATCGACGAAAATTAGATTAAAACTAATCGAACCATCTCATCACGTTTCTTCCCTTTTGTTGACTCGGAAATTAGTGACAGTGGTCCAAAACGTCAACGACGTAGGAGAACACCTGTGCTTCGAAGAAAAAACGGGAGAAGAAGAGACGCCAATCGCGATCGGTGGTTAGCTGGCGTGTGGCGTGTGCTTTGAAGCGGTAAGCACAGGGGATCGATCGGATTAATGGACTCTGTTGGCCACCCAAGAAATTGGCCTGCAGACGTGTGCGGTGTGCCAACCAACCACCCAAGAAAAGGTCATAGGCTCTCATAGCGCACATGCTCGCTGGGCTGCTGCTTCTGCACCTGCCTCTTTTATACTAGTTTTTTTTTCTTTACTTTTTCCAACATGTCGCTGTACTACTACTATGTTAACCACGCCAATTTGTTAACCAATTATAACCACACCGCTCCCGACGAGAAAAAAAACATGACGTTTTGGACACGGATACGGTATTCACGTAATTCTGATTAAATAGGTAAAGTATTTAAAATCCAAAAATAAATTCATAATTATTACAATAATTTTTGAGATTGATCTGCTTATATGATCTTTAGGTATCCAATCTAAAAATCTTCAAATACATTCTTTTTTTAAAAAAAAGTTAAATGATACGAACAACAAGTCAATAACGACATGTTTTCTCTTAGATTAAGGGTTTGTTTGGTGGAGCTTCTAGCTCTTTCAAAAAAGTACAGCTATTTTACATATTCTAAGAAGCTATGTAGTTAGAAAATGAAATAGAAGTGAGAAGGCAGGAAACCCAGCTTTCCCATATTTTCAGAAACCGGCTACCGACCAGCATTTCTCAGAATTTTAAGCTCTCTAAATAGGCTCTAGATATCAGTACACCCAATATAAGCACAATATAACCATTCTAACTCTTCCCATGCATCATTCAATTAAGGGTATGTAGTTTTGGTCAAAAAAAATAATTTAAGAGTACGGTGTATAAAATTTGCAAAAAAAAAGAGGTTGTTTTGACCTCTGCAATACATGAAAAATGTTGAAACATGTGCTCTGGAACATGGACTAAACTAGAGGGAGAGTATGCAAATTTGACCAGGAATGCGCAGAAATTCAAAGATCGTTTCCTACTACTACATGTTTAATCAGAAAGCAGAGAAAAGGTGTACTAACAACATATAAAAGCCAGTACACATGACAACAGTCTTTCCAGTCTTTTGAGTAATAATTATTAATTACATACTATGCATAGAAATGGAGACAGTTGTACTTGTACATCAACAAAAATGGATAAATCTACCATTATTTTTCAGAACACTGTATATGCTCTAGTGGAGGAAATAATCACTTAAATCAGTGAAAGAACTCTTTGGGTTTGGGCCAAAGAAATCTCAAACAGAGACGAACTTAAATCATGGAAAACAACAATTTAGTCAGTACTTAATTTTTTTTCTCCCTTTGTGATATTCTCCTCCTCTAAACCGGGCAGATAAATCTTCAGAGCCCGAGCCATGTCGCCGGCTCATCTTTCACCGGCGCGACGGCGAAGCTTTTCTCCGGCGCCGGCGACGCCACCGCCGCCTTCTTGTATGGTTCGCTCGTTGTCGTGATCCTGCAAATTGATATGCACGCATGTTAAAATCCAATGATTTAAGAAATTACTAGGGGTTAAATTAACAGACAAGATAATAAAAATTCAGTCAGAAAACTGCTCTGCTCTACTTGGGAGAAAGATTTAGTTATGGATTCGTCGAATTTTTGTTTGAATTCTAAATATTCGGAACGAATTTGATGTTTGTAGTGATGTTCTCACCTGTGCTTCCTCTTCTGGAGGAAACGCTGCAGCGACGCCTTCCTCGCGATCGGCATCTCCGGGAGCGCGGCGGCGTGCGCCGGCTGCGGCGGCGAGCACGCGGAGCCGGCCAGCCTCATGAGCTCCGCGGCCTTCTCGACCGGGACGTCGTCGACCACGACCATCCTCCCGTCGTAGAAGATGGTCAGCGGGGCCGTCCCCGCCGACGGCGTCGCGACGCCGTCGGCGGCGGCGGCGCGCGGGGGGAAGAGCTGCATAGTCCGCGCGTCCTCCTCCTCCTCCTCCTCCGCCACCGCCTCAAGAACCGTCACCGGCGGCTGCGGCTGCTGGCGCTCCCGCATGTACTGGCTGAGGAGGCCGCACGTGACGGCGAACCTGCTGCTGCTGCCGGCGGCGGCCATGGCGTCCACCTCCACCACCTCGCGTTCGTCTCGTTTCTTTCTTTCTCACGTTGTCTCCGCGAAGCTGCGCTGCGAAGCTTGCGTGTGGGGAGGTGGGATGTGTGTGTGTGTACACGCCGAGTGGTGGTGCGCGCTATATAGCTAAGCTGATGGGCTTCCTTTGGCTTTGGGTTGGAAAAGGAGCACGTGAAATGCGAGCGCGGGAAGGGAGAGCGACGCGCGGCGGCGAGGGCGAGGGAGGAGTAGTACAATTGTCGCTTCTCTCCTTGGAACCTCGTCGACTGGTTTATCTATCTATCTATTTTTAGAGGGACTAAAACACGCCATTAGCTCCTTTGGTTTATCTTCCTGTGGTTTCTAAAATTCGTCTAGGCCTCTCTCTCTCTCTGTGGATCCTTTGTTTCTATTTTATTATTTTTGCTTAATTTGCAAGAGAAAAAAATATCTTTTCTTTATTGATTTTTTTTGGTTGTGGGATACTATGCATAGGATTGCTAGGGCACGATATTATGTCCCAGGTATGGTATACTTTATGTGTATACGCCATCTGTGCCTCCACTTCATCTTCATGAGTCCGTGCCTCCGTCATGCCTCACACTGTGCTCTCGTGTCCCGCACCTTGAGTAGAACCACCAGCTGACCGTTGAGTTGAGTTTGTTACAGGTCTATGATTGTCACTGACTTTGTCACTTTTTATAATATGTCATCGATTTTTGCTTAACTTCTACATTTACCACCACCGTCCTGTTAACCTCCGCCTAGTACTTAACATTTTTATCCAAACGACCAAAATACCTATAAATATAATAAAAGTTAGTCAGTTACTATTTTTACAAGCTCAAATTGGTATTGCACACATTTTTTCTTGACGTATATTATTTTTAACACTTTTATTGTCTTCCTAATTTTAATATCTACGAACTGATATAAATCTAGCACAATTCGTACCTTGTTCTGAATTCAAAGAAAGGGTTAGAATTCGGAATGCAATAATTAACTGATGAAGAGCATGCAGAAAACATCTTGAATGTAACACTAACAAACCAATGTAAATAACTCATGAAGAAACAAATTAAAAAAATAGCGCATATTTACCCCAGATAAAATAGTACTCTCTCATTCCTAAATTGATCATCATATAGTGGAATTCAAAATTCCTCAAATTGATCATCATATAACCGTATGGACACTGATTTCATCATAATACAATTAATGCAGCAAGGGAGAATGTGTGCACCCTAAGATATAATTGATATGGTGTGCTTAATCGATGCGTGCATTGTGGTAGAATATGTGCATAGTGTCTTGATTGTTGTGATTTAAATTATCGTTGGTTTTGGTGTATAAATTTATATGATGATTAATTTGGGAACGAGGGAGTAAAAGAGAGAAGTGCAAATTTTCCCATGCCAAATTGAAAGGGAAATTTTCCTAGAAAATACCGTTGCAACTCATCACATGCTCTCTTTCCGCGCTTCATTCGATCCTATCCGTATCCGTGATGCATGCACAGCTGCGATTAGATGAAATGTCGTCGTGGTGTGTGCAATAATAGTCTGCGACAACACATGCGCGAGAGATCCCACGAGATCCAACCAAAATCGTATTAAATCAATATAAAACGGCAAAGAGAGAGATACATCCCGTACGTTTCTGATTAAGATACACACGTTATACTTTGGTTTTCGTTAGAATATTTTTAAACTACTAAAAACGTGCATTTCATATGAAAACTATCTTTAAAATATCAAATAAACCTTAATTAATGATACAATAATGTTTTTTTCTTTGTATCCTTTTATTAGAAACAAACACTAGTGCTACATAGGTACTACCTCCGTCCCATATAAATTGCACTTCTAACTTTAGGATATAGTAGTAGGATTGGAAAATGACCACAATGACCTTATTTAATGAACACAATAGATATATACATTTCATATATAAAATTGATTAAAAGGAAGTTTGAGACAATTAAGAAAACATTTTTAGATTAAAAGGAAGATATGGGATGGAAGCCTGGGAGACCATAAGGAAACATATTTAGATTAATTAATCAATTTGCTGGGTCCCAAGTGATTAGAATTATAGTTTTTCTTTTGGACAAAGCCTGAGAGCCAGAATTGTAATTTATATGGGACGGAGGTAGTAGTATGGAACAAGCCAATTCAATGGACGATACCCTCCAGTTTTATTTTAATTGACGTTTTGGACGACGACACGGTCTACAAAATATATTTTTGACCCTATTTTTCTATTATAATATATATAATAAATAAATGCATGTTACTTTTATTATAATGCTTTGAAAGACAAATCTATATATGTTGTTCTAGTTCCTTTAAACTAAATATTTTTAAAGTTATTGATGGTTAAAGTTATAAAAGTTTGACCTCAACCTTATCTAAAACGTCAATTAATATGGAACCGGAGGGTGTAGATCGATCTGCGATTGCTTAGCATACTAGCTGTTGACAAGTCGAGCCAATGTAGGATATACAGGCAGCGATCGATCGACGACGACATGGATGGATGGAGCGAATGAAGCAACAAACAATGCAAGCAAGCAAGCTGTTGTGCGTCGCCATCCTCGCCAAAACAGTGTCCGTCGTTGCCGACTACTACGAATGATTAGAATCCGATCGATCTAGACGATATGCTAGCTACTAGAGTGCTTGCTAGGTCGTCGATCGCCAAACGCAAAGAGAATAATCCATGTGCTAGATCAGCTGTTCAACCTGCTGCCCGGGACATGTGGGGGATATCACTAATTAATTAGAGAAAGTATACAATTTCTGGTACTCAAAATTAGAGGAAAGATGTGGTGAAAACCATTAATTAAACCCGTAATAACACGTCTAAATTCATTAAAAACAATATTAGGAATAGGTATAGGCCTTTTTTTTTAACGACTCGCACGAGACGGTGCGAAATTCTATTGATAGAGTAGGAAAAAATTACAAGATTACAACCCTAAAGGATCGTAACTAGGAAAAAGGGAAAAAAAATATACTATCCAATTACAATACTATCCAATCTTAAATCTAAACTCAGCTGCTTTATTTATTTGGGAGGAGAAGGAAAAAAAAGAGAGACATTTGAGCTGAGTTTAGAAAACTTTTAGTTCCTGTTTAACTTATTTAATAGTTTTCACCTGATATTCTTTTAAAAATTGTGTCCACAAATATAGAAACTTCTAAATACTGATCACACAATCGTCATCATCCCCCAACCATTGTAGTGTTTTTCATTTCCCCTAATTTGTCCCAGAAATTCCAAAAGTTTTGTGGACAGACGATGGAGCTAGTCGTACTTAAACTGATTTGTGTTAATTTGCACAGTTTAAATAACTGACAAATAAGGAATGGTAGAATTGCCAAAATTTTAGAGTTGAATTCTAAAATTTAATTTTAAGGTTGTTTCATTTAACCTTAGTTTTTAAAGCACTAATAAAACATTAGTTTATAGAAGTTTTACAGCTTCATTCATTTTACTATGGCGCGCGTATCAACTGCAGCTCAAACGATGGGAACCTATGAAATAGTAAAAATGTAAAAAAGGCTATGTTGGTCATTTCAAATTAAACTTAGGTATGAGTAAGTACTTGGAACCTAAAGTTGATTTGCGCCTAAAGATGTGTTTGGTACTCTCTCTTCTCATCTTTTTCTCCTAGATTTTCATGAGCACACTTTTCGAATTGCTAAATAATATGTTTTTTAAAAACTTTCTATATAAAACTTACTTAAAATATCATATCAATTCACTTTTCATATTTTTTTACTAATACTTAATTAATCATATGCTAAAAGTCACTTCATTTTGCGTACGCAAGACAGAAGTTCCCATCTTCTATAGCCGAATACAGCCTATGGATGTGTTCATTCGGGGTGGGGGTGGGTGCCTCTCCCCAATCACTGTAAATCAAAATGACAGATTAGCATACGATTAATTAAGTATTAGCTTAAAATTTTAAAAATAGATTAATATGATTTTTTTAACCAGATTTTTCAGAAAAAACGTAACATTTAGGAGTTTAGGAAGAGTACCGCCGAACACACCGTATATTCAGAAAACTAAGAAAATTGTTCGATCGGAGGCCTGTTAACTAACGACACACTCGTTATCAAGGGTATCTTAAAATTAAGGCATAATAGTCAGTATGTCGTTACATTAATAAAAAAACAACATGAACAGTTCGTCGTTGGAGGTATGTATACACAGAAAACGTGCTCTGATCTGGTCAGTTTCTTTCAGCTGCAACAGTGCTCGATCTGTATGCTTGCCTGCCTGCCCTGCGTTTGCAGAAACCAGCCGGCCAATGTTGATCGATCATCAGCAGTGAAGTGGTCGTCGCCGTCGTATATTCTCGTCGGTGTTTTTCTCCATGTCCTGTCCGTCAAATTAAAACGCGTGTGATCTTTCGCCCTGTGCCACGCACTACTTGAGCTGAATAATAATTGATGTGCAATTATCAACCACCGGGCGATTGACCTGAAGATATATATGCTATTGGTAGAATGGCAGTACTGGTCACTGTTGGCTGCACATGCAGAGATTTATTATTTTTGATCTGGTCATGGCCATATGCATGAGAGTCATTAAATTGTTTCATGTACATTATGAGGGCTGGACTTAGGGGACAGTTCCTAAATAAAAATTATTCATCCTGTCACATCGAATGTTTAGATACATGCATGGAGTATTGAATATGGAAAAAAAACTAATTACACAAATCACGTGTAAATTGCGAGACGAATCTTTTAAGCCTAATTGCGCCATGATTTGATAATATGGTGCTACAATAAATATGTTCTAATGATGGATTAATTAGGCTTAATAAATTCGTCTCGCAGTTTCCAGGTGAAATATATAATTTGTTTTGTTATTAGTCTACGTTTAATACTTCAAATATGTGTCCGTATATCCAATGTGGCACGTCAAAAATTTTCGTTCGCGAACTAAACAGGCCCTTATTGGTATATAGATGAATTTAAGAGGAAAAGCATAACATTCTGAGGGTTTCTTTGGAACAAAGGATATTTGAAGGAATTTTGTAGTGTATGAATCCTTTGAAAGAAATCCTTTGGAACACAGGAATGAGCTAGCGCACCTTTTAAATTCCTATGGATT